AGAAACTAGACCGTAAAAGGCTAATCAACCCAATTATAAAATGGGGCACTGAGCTGAACAGAGATCTCTCAACAGAAGTTGTTCAAATGACCAAAAGACACCTAAGGTCATGTTCAACTTCCTTAGCCATCAGGGAAATGCAAATCAAGACAACTTTAAGATACCATCTTACACCTGTCAGAATGGCTAAAATCAAAAACACCAATGATAGCCGTTGCTGGAGAGGTTGTGGAGAAAGGGGTACACTCATCCATTGCTGGTGGGAATGCAAACTTGTGCAACCACTCTGGAAAGCAATGTGGAGGTTTCTCAGGAAATTCGGGATCAACTTACCCATGGACCCAGCAATATCACTCTTGGGAATATACCCAAGAGAGGCCTCATCATACAACAGAAGTATATGTTCTACTATGTTCATAGCAGCATTGTTTGTAATAGCCAGAACCTGGAAACAACCTAGATGCCCTTCAATTGAAGAATGGATGAAGAAAGTATGGAATATATACATATTAGAGTACTACTCAGCAATAAAAAACAAGGACTTCTTGAAGTTTGCAGGCAAATGGATGGAAATAGAAAACACTATGCTGAGTGAGGTAAGCCAGACCCAAAAAGAGGAACATGGGATGTACTCACTCATATTTGGTTTCTAGCCATAAATAAAGGACATTGAGCCTATAATTTGGGTTCTTAGAGAAGCTAAATAAGAAGGAGAACCCAAAGAAAAACATATAGGCATCCTACTGAATATTAACCTTCATCAGGCGATGAAAGGAGACAGAGACAGAGACCCACATTGGAGCACAGGACTGAAATCTCAAGGTCCAAATCAGGAGCATTAGGAGAGAGAGCACGAGCAAGGAACTCAGGACCGCGAGGGGTGCACCCACACACTGAGACAATGGGGATGTTCTATCAGGAACTCACCAAGTCCAGCTGACCTGGGTCTGAAAAAGCCTGGGTTAAAACCGGTCTCGCTGAACATAGCGGACAATGAGGACTACTGAGACCTCAAGAACAATAGCAATGGGCTTTTGATCCTACTGCACGTATTGGCTTTGTGGGAGCCTAGGCAGTTTGGATGCTCACCTTACTAGACCTGGATGGAGGTGGGTGGTCCTTGGACTTCCCACAGGGCAGGGAACCCTGATTGCTCTTTGGGCTGATGAGGGAGGGGGACTTGATTGGGGAAGGGGGAGGGAAAGTGAAGGCGGCGGTGGGGAAGAGACAGAAATTTTTAATAAATAAATAATAATGAAAATTCCCCCAAAACAGAGCACAGAATTCTACTAGACCTTCAAAGAATTAATACCAATATTCCTCAAACTGTTCCAGAAAATAGAAAAGGAATGCTTCCAGTTATTTCTACAAAACCTTTATTACTCGATCTCAGAAAAAGACCCAACAAAAATGAGAATTATAGAGCAGCTTTATTGATGAATACAAATGTAAAAATTCTTAAAAACAACTTGTAAGCCAAATTCAAGAGTATATATAAAAAATCAACTATAACAATTAAGTCAGCTTCATCACAATGATGCAAGGAACTTCAACAAACTTGAATCAGTAAATGCAATATGCCAAAAAATTATACCCATGGACAAAAATTACATGAATAAATTCCAACATCCTTCATGAAGTCCTGGAAATTTGGGGATACATGGGACATATGTCAACATAATATGGGAAATATACAACAAGCCCACATTCACAGGTAAATGGAGAAAACTCAAAGCATTTCTGCTAAAGTTGGGAAGATAGGCTGTCCACCCCGCCCTTTCCACTACTGTTCACTATAGTACTGTTCACTGTAGTCTACTGCAAAAGTAGTAGATAAATTGGATATAAGCAGGAAAAAGATAAGTCAGAGTATTCTTAATTTTTAAATTGTATGATTCTATCCATAAAACACCACAAATAATCTACCACTCCCACAGGTGATGAACATGTTCAGCAAAATAGCAGGATATAAAATTAATACACAAAAATAATCAATAGCCTTCCTACATAAATGGCATGCTCACAAAGAAATGAGGGAAAGAGTTCCATTCACAACAGCCTCAAAAAATTTTTTTGAATAAATCTAACCAAAAAAGTGAATTGTACAATGAAAAATTAAGACATCAACAAAAAAAGAAGATAACAGAAGATGGTATCTTCCATACTTATTAATTGGTAGAACTGATATTATGAAAATGGCCATTGTATCAAAAGCAGTCTATAGAATCCATGAAATTATCATCAAGACCCAGAGCAATACTTCATAGAAATTGAAAAAAAAATGTGAAACACAAAATACACAAGCAAAAACATCACTGCAAAAGTCTCCTAAAATATATACATACATATAAATAAGAGGCATTGAACAGAGGGATAATGCCTCTCTTAAAGCCATAGGCTAGCAAATAAAAATACCAGTGCCAGGTATTGGTTCTATCACTAGTTTTTGGTCACTGGGTTCTCACAGACCTCCCCCTAAACATTAGAGGTGATAAATTGTCAAAGTTCCTGGTTAGCTTCCAGAATTTGATGGTCAAGACTCTACTGCTAAAGTCACCACATACTTGAGTCATAAGATGTAAAAGAATCAATCAGGTACCAACATGGAAGCTTCATCCTTACCGGTTAGTGATCATAGTACCGAAAAGTTCTATGTATGCTACTAGAGGAGAAATGTAACAGTCATACTAATTTGTAAATCATGTGATCTACAATGAAGACTATCTTTGGAAATATATACCCATGAATTGGATAATGACATGAATGATACTGAGTTAATCAACCCCTTTCTGATTAATTGAAGCTGTATTTTACAAGATACAAGTTATGTCTGTTACCATTAACTGTGCTATATCATAGTCCTAGGGAGAACCTAATTGTTCTGCTGATTATTCGGAATAAGCTGAACGATTATTCTGCTAAGTGGTCATAGTATTAACCTGCTGCCTAAGTTCTTATCTTTATAACCATTAGTGGATATCTCAACCCTCATAAAATAAGCAGGAGGCAGCAGATAATTTAGAGATCAACTGATCAGTATGTAGAGATTAAGTGAGTGTGGAGTCCTCAGCTCTAAATGGGACACCAATCTGGTCAGAGATCATCATGGAAGTGGATGTGGGTTGATTTTAAGAGTAACAGTTACTGGACATCTCTAGCAAAATAGTATTGCTGTCAGTATTTGCTGGATATGACTGCACGGTTGCACATATGAACTCAAAGCAGTTACAACTACATGTACAAGACCTGCACAAGATCAAATCAGATAATCTCAGCATGGGGGGAAGGGCTCATGAAGTCCCACCCCTACCTGGGGAGCCACCGGTTGTTGGTGGAGAGTCACTTTTCTTCAGGGAAGAAGAAGCCACCAATGAACCAGTGTATGTTCTTATGCCCATCCACATACTGGCCGCACTAAGTGGAGTCAGTGAGTTTTAAAAGAGGACATGGTAGTTGGGAGCTAAAGGACGTTGGGAGGATAGGCCAGGAATCAGACACAAGGGCACAAGAGATGGACTTGACAAAAACATTTAAGTATGAAATTCTCAACAACAACAACAACAACAAAACACAACTAAAAGGAAAAAATACATACTTTTCTTAAAGAATCCTAATATATTTTTTAACATCAGAAAGCTAAACTACTTCTACTTTATACATTTATAATAGAAACCAGTATTTTAGAATGTTCAGCCAACATATAGGTTTTGATTAACATATTTGTTTTAGTTACTTTTTATACTGCTATGCCAAGGCATCATGACCAATAGAAGAAAGTGCTCATGGGGGCTTAGAGTTTGAGAATTAAGTTCATGATCATCATGGTGGGGAGCTTAGCAGCAGACAGACAAACTCAGTGCTGGAGCAGCTGAGAGCTTACACCATCAGAAGCATCCATGAGGCAGAGAGAGCAATTTTAGGATATCATCTGCCTTTGAAACCTTAAAGGTCACATCTCCTAATCCTTCCCCAAAAGGTTCAACAACTGGGGATCAAGTAATCAAATATATGAGCCAGTGGGGGTTACTGTCATTCAGACCACCATAATAATAAACATTTTCAATTAAAAATATTTTGAAAGCAAGCCAGTCATGTTGGCACATTCCTATAGTACCAGGACTTGAGACACTGAGGCAAAAAGAAGATGGCTTTGAGGCCATCCTGGGTGGGTAGTGAGATTAAGGCTAGCTTGGGCTAAGAAATAAGATCTTGTCTCAAAAGACAGGTTAATGTTGGGGGGGGGGTCTGTTTGTTGGTTCGCGGCTGCCCAGCTAGCTTAGACCCTAAATAATCACACAGAAACTGTATTTATTAAATCACTGCTTGGCCCATTAGCTCTAGCTTCTTATTGGCTAACTCTTATATCTTAGTTTAACCCATCTCCAATAATCTGTGTATTGCCACCTGGCAGTGGCTTACCAGCAAAATTTCAGCATGTCTGACTTTGGTGGCAGCTCCAAGGTGGCTCTCTCCCTGCTTTCCTTCTCCCAGCATTCAGTCCAGTTCTCCCCATCTACCTAAGTTCTGCCCTATCAAGAGGCCAAAGCAGTTTCTTTATTCACTAACTAATTAAAACAACACACAGACAGAAGGACCTCCCATACTAGGTTAAGAATGTATCTTATTGTTAGAGTCCTTGTCAAGCAAGGACAAGGCCCTGAATTCCATCCCTATTGCTACAAATATTTTAGAAACAAATTATTTACTTTACAATGATTTTATTTTAGTCTTTCCAAATATTCCTTTATGTTTCTTAAAGATAAGAAAATTCTCAGACTATACATCATTTATTTTAATACAAGAAGCCATCTCTTAAGAAAATGATTATTTTTCATTCATGTTTTAATACTTGAGTAGGTCAAGATTCAACAAGAGTATAAGATGCTCTCATTTTAAATGTGCCATTTTAAAATTAAACTTCTAATATGCCAGTTTTCTGTTCTCAAAAAGACATAAAGAATGTCTTTCTTCTGCTAATAAAGTCATGGATAAGATCATACCTTTCTAGCTGTTCAGACACATGGTCAGCTGAATCAGAAGAAGGAGCTTGGTATATGTCTGATAACTCCAAGCGCTGTCTATACCCTTTTCTTAAAATTGGTGTGGTCCAGCTAGAAGAGAAGATGGCAGACAGATATTCAGTTATTAAGTCTTCATTACAGACATGATTCTGGTACCAACTGTCATGCAGAAAATATAGTATATATATATAGAAATATGAAAGTGAAGTAAAACAAGTTACATAAATACAATAATATTCATATCGTACTTGATATACCCATATAAACATCAGCACCTCTGACCTAAGCTTCTTTTTTAACAGATGAGGATCCTAATATAGTTTAATCTTTCATGATAAGAAAACAGACTGAGGAACATAAGACAGACAATAAATGTTCTTAATTTTGTCAATGTAACCTAGGACATTTAGCAATGAGTTAGCTATTAAAGAAATGAGTGTAAAGATGTACAGTGAATAGTTTATAGCAGTTAGCAAATATGATTGTCTCTACAACATTGTTAGAAAGTATAGATCATCAATTCTTTTCTCATTACCCTGTAAGTATTTATGATGGAAACTAGAGAAACTGATGGAGGAAAGTAGAGTAGCCCTGTTTGCTCAAACATGCTGCTTCTAGCTACTATGGAAAAGGCAAGATAAACTCCACAAGGACAGAAGTCAGAAATTCTAATTATATGTATATATAACTGATATAGTCTGCCATTAGTGACAATTCTTCCAACAAGTCCACACTCCTAATCCTTCTTGTACCCCAGAAATTTCTAAGATTTATTATCATTAAGGTTCTGTAATAATGTAAAACGATGAATGTTAAACCATCAGAAAGGTTGTATTTGAGAAGCAAGAAAACATGAAACAAAAAAAAAACATATTCATCAAAGTCTTTCAAGAGATTGTAAAGAAATGCCACGTCAAATGTCAACATTCTGATATTGTTCCAGGGTATAATATTCCAGGGAGCCCTCATGATTACCCTTATCCCTCCCATCTAAGGGTCCATATTCTTCTTTAGTCTCTGACTTGCTCACTAGGACCAGTCCCATGCCTTAATCCTCCTGTAGTTTGTCTTTGAGACTCATCTGAATTTAGGCCCATCCCTAAAACCAAGTAACTTAATTGGCCATTTCTTGCTAAGACCGTAAGTGAGTGATGGATGGTTCCTTGTGTCTCTTTAACTTACAAATTTGCATTTTAACAAAAACCTTCTTTAACAAAGGGTAGTAACTAAGCTTAGTGATTCACTGGTCATTCTTTCTGCAGGAAAAAAGATAGTGAATATACATGGAAGCAAACCAAATGTATCAGGAAAAGAAGGGCCACAACCACGGTGATACCATCTGAGAAGGAGTGGCACAGGTAGTTACTTACTACCCTATTCAGTATCTCACAGACAGAACATTGAAATAAAGGTGGCAGTTAGTATAGGAGATAAAACTGAGACAGCAATGTGAGAGATGGTTATGTGATTTAGGCAATTACCCTTTACAAACTTAAAGCAATAATTTACTACCAGAGCTGGCAGTGGTGGTGCACGCCTTTAATCCCAGCACTTGGGAGGCAGAAGTAGGCAGATCTCTGTGAGTTCAAGGCCAGCCTGGTCTAGAAGAGCTAGTTTCCAGGATAGGCTCCAAAACTACAAAGAAACCCTGCCTCAAAAAAATAAAACAACAACAACAACAAAAAAAAAGAGTTTACTATTTATTTAAAGAATCTATTTGGCACTTGCCAAAGACTTTTGCAATCATTAGCATACTGGTGTGTTTTAATTTTGAAACTTTGTTAAGCAAATAAAACAAAAGGGAGTATTTTTAGCTACCTTAGGAAAGGGTACTCAGAGACATAAAAGTTTTCTGAGACATAAAAGTTATTAATGTAAAAGATTTCTCCACATTCTTTTGAATTCATTCTTTACCATGTTCAACTGTAAGAGAATTAGGTAAAGTGGGTTGTAATAAAATTAGACACATAACTTGGAGAGTGAAAACAAGGGGAGCAAATCCAGTGGGTAATAGGTAGGGGTGTGCTCTGCAAACAATAATCCCGTTTTCCAGAAAACAAAAGCAAAAGCTGACTGCTCATTGCTTCATAAACACTCTTACCATGATCAATTCAAGCTACCAAAGATGAGATCACTGAATTCAGAACTGGCAAGAGAATGAACTGCATATGATATTAACATGCTCATCACTTCAAAGAGAAAAACCACAAATGGTCTCAATACCATAACAGCAATGCATAAAATAAGCGCAAAGTGATAACCTCTTGAACTTTTGTTTACCATATTGCAATTATGTTCTATAATTTGATATTTAACCACTATGTTTAACAGCGAGCTCATAAATAATCTTCTCTAGAAAGGTTCAAGTGTGTATACCACTAGGGGCAGAAATTTGAAATCTCAGAAGGCCAGTAGCAAGGGACAAAAAGAATGACGATCTGCAGAACACAGTAAAAAAGAAAATTCATTACACCTACTAGCAGCCTTGTGTTCTCAATATATTTGAAATTATTAAAATCATGTATCAACTTCAAAATGAACAGAGGCTCAATGTCTTCCAATACCATTCCTTAAAGGGCATTCAAAAGAAATTTTTTAATTTTCTTAAGCCCTTACACATTGCAAGCATGATTCTTTGGGTCCATGTTTAAGATTAAGTGGCCATTCTCATGAACAACAAGCTTCCAGCTAGTTCAAAATAACACAATATGTGTGATAAATTCATAAAAATCATCTTTGTTATCTCAGGGTGTTTTAAGATATTATATTACACTGTGACAACTAGTTTTACCAAGAGAACCATGAAGCCAAATAAATTCAGCAGTATAATGTTCAAGCTCATCAGCTGTAATTATTAGTTAGCATTTCTTGGCAGTTATACCATAGAAAGCCTGAATTTATATTTCCAAATTAAAACTGGTTCAAAGTAAATTCTAAAAATGAAAATTTAGGGACAGTAGCAATGATTAGTGGTTTAGGGCAGTTGCTTCTCCTTCAAAGGACCAGGGTTTGAAACTTAGCAACCATATGGAGGCTTACAACCATCTGTAACTCCAGGTCCAAGGGACCTGATGCCCTATTTTGACATCTGAGGGCTCTAGGCATATATGCAGTGCACATTCACACAAGCAGTCAAAATACTCATACACATAAGCAAAACTAAAAAAAATTAAACCAACTAAAAACCTATTCATCTTAGGCTGTCTGCAATCACCTTACAGAAAACTTTTATTTCTTGAGAATAAATTGGTATAGGAGGTCCTTCTGTCTATGTGTTGCTTTCATTGGTTTAATAAACTGCCTTGGCCTTTTGATAGGGAAGAACTTAGATAGGTGGAGTAGACCTAACTGAATGCTGGGAAGAAGGGCAGTGTGGCAGATGCCATGAAGCTCCTGCCTGAGACTGACGCTGGTTAGAATCTTTCCGGGTAAGCCACGACCTTGTGGTGTTACACAGATTGGTAGAAATGGTTAAATCAAGATGTGAGAGTTAGCCACTAAGAGGCTAGAAATAGTGGGCCAGGCAGTTATTTAACTAATACAATTTCTGTGTGATTATTTCAGGTGTAAACTAGCAGGGCGGCTGGGACGACAAGCCACCCATTCCTCATATTACAATAAATCAGCTTCTCCTAACAATGAGTTCTCTATGTCAACTATAAGTCAGTCTAAGAAACATAAAACAAAATTAGAGAAAACAGACATTCAAGTTTTAGATACTATGAAATGTAAATGTGAAATTCAAGCCACTCTTTATTTGCAAGGATTCTGAGTATATTTAATGGACTTGTGTACATTCAACACTGTTCAAAGCCAGAATTTTCACCTCAGTATCTCTCCCATCGTAAAGTAATATACATTCAGGTATTTCATGAGTCTGAGTAGTTGGAACAACATAAGGCATTACAATGACGATTTTTCTCTGTCTACCACTGCCCCTGCTAGCTATTTCCCTCACATCTAAATGACTGACAAATTGGTATTCCTAGAACGTCTGATGGCCTTCAAAGTCAGGGTTTCTCTAACAGAAACTAGTTAATCAATTAAGAAATAGCAGACACATAGCAAACGCATATTTCTAGAGTTTCCTACCACCCAGGAGAAAAGCCCACCATCTCAGATATACTGTTCTGTCCACTTAACCGTAACAAGCTTCAGGTTTTATTACAAATAATGCTAGCATTTTAATTTTTAAAGACATACACACTAATTTTACTCTGTTTAATATTGTTCATTTCATTTCTTTGGGAAAACTAATTTTATACAGAATGATTTGTAGTTTCTAATGAAATAATTTGTTCCCAGAGATTGAGGTGAGAAGTCCCTGCTTTAGGAATGCAAAACCAAGTCTCAGCCACCTGTCCTAACATGTCAATCAAAGGGATGAGCAGTGATAAAAGACAGAGAAAGAAGATTTAATCTATGTTGGCACACAGTGAGGAAGAGAAAAAGAAGTTCTGTAGCTCCCCACCACAAGTCCATCTTCAGGATATAAGCAACAGCTCAGGCTTAAAGAGAAGAACCAAAAACGCAGGGGCAAGATAGGTTTATCATCAAAAGAGTTTTAGTCAAACTTGGGCTCAGTTCTTGTTGTACAAGTCAGTTCAAATAAGTCATTACTGATGTGAGGACAAGTCAGGTCCTGAGAAAGACTGCTCCTGAACAGGGCCTGATTCTCATGCACAGTGGTCACTTTGTGAACTTCTGCTCTCCTGGAATCCAGAGTGACCACAGGCTTATGGAAATCACTGAAGAAATTGAAGGAGTATCATGGGAGTCTACAAAAGGTTGCTACAGAAGAAGACAGCAAGATTTCTCACTCTTGTCTTAGTGTATAACCTTAAAAGGGGTTAAAAGAGCTTAGGTATTATTCTTTAGACAAATACTACTTGAGAGATGTAAATACCTACATGTAAAATTAAGAGTCTAATACAAAGTTTTAAGACAAGGAGACAGATGCAAACTGTAGGAAGGGATACCAGGTTTTTAGCCTGTTCATACTGACCTGTGTGCCAAATGGGGAGTCAGGGCTCTTTAACAAAATCAATTTCTAGGGTCCTACTAAAAATTTGCCCATTATAATGACGATT